ATTGAATCAAGGATCCATTACTAAAACTCAATACAATACTCTCATTCAAGAAGTTTTACATATGAGCGAAGATCGGAAATTAAGAGCTGCACAACGAAAGGAAAAAGAAGTAGGTTCTATTGTATGGGAAAAGGGTGTAAATTTGGATATAGCGGGTCCAGGTGAGCGTACTTCTACATTTAGTCCTTCTGGTGATAAGGAAATGATGAGAAACAAAGATCATCCTATTGCAAGAAATCCAAACGGCCCTAGATGGCAAAATCAACCATGGCAACAACCAGGACCATGGGCTCATCCGCCAGGACCTCCTTACGGTGGACCACAAGGACATTTTAATTCAGATTTTAGACCAGTTGGTCCATGGCAAAATCCAAGACACTTCGGACCAATGCGACCCGACTATCAATATCACGGTGGCTTCAATCATTCTATTGGTCCAAATCCACGATTAGGACCTGGAATGATGGGACCTATGGGACCTAATGGTCCGCTCATGTCAAATTTATTACCTAATGGTCCAATTGGGCCAATGGGCATGCCTAATCCACCTATATCATTACCGGGAATGAACGGACCTGGAATGATGATAAACAATGGACCAATGACAAGTCTTATATCAAATACAAATATGTCATCATTGAATGCTTCAAGGAATGTATCGCCAAGTTCGTCTTCGAAGTATGATATCGAAGATGGCGATCAAAATTATACTACAACGATGATAAAGAATCCAAATCCTCATAGTCGTGAATTACCGCCACCAGACTCAAAATTATTAGATGAAATTGCAAGAGATACTATGAAATCTATAGATATAGACATACAGCATATACCACGTGAAATCAGGTACTACGGTCAAACTGGAGTAGTTTTTATGAATTGGGATGATCCAAGAGAAATCGGATTTCAAGATGGTATACGGCGGATTTTAATTGATGATAAAATCACTATAACCTGTGCATTTAATGATAATTACAAAGAATTTATTTATGAAGGTGAAGTTCATAGGTATGTATCCTAATGTCGTGCACTCGACTAACAGATTTATATATAATGTAAAATATTATCGACCTGTTTATGTTTTCAGAATTAAATTAGGTGCACCAACGAGAGAGTTATATATTGATGATAGGTGGTATGAGTGTTATTTCGGTGGTATGCCAATAACAGTAGATCTTGGTGGTAAAAAGGTTAGCGTAAAATTGGAAGGACCTCCACCCCTTGTTAAGATTGGTACTGTAAAGAGAACAGACTTAGTAGTTGCCAAAATTAATCTTATTATTAATGCCCGAAATATGGTTCCTGTATTTTTAGATGCAAAACCTCAAATGTTAGTTGTGTTCATATTATTACAAACTTTAGACTAAGGATGTATAAAACAATACTTACAAATTTAAATATTTACAGATTTGAAATTGAAGGGAAACCTCATACACTTGAATTTATAGACTCGTTACAAACAGTTCTTTTAAATGGGCGGCCATTTAAAGTGGAATTCGGTGGACTGCCTAAACCAATTATTGTTAGGGATAAAAAGCATTTTATAAGATTTTCGGTACTGCCTAGAGGTGTCCGACCAGGATATGTTAAGATAGCAGGTATGAAAGGTGAAGAACCTATCGAAGCACCACCTACCCCGCCTCTATTGACACAAAAGCCGAAAGTGGATGCAGCTTCTACACCAACGCAGTTCTCTGCTGTTGAACATGAATCAACGTCACAAGATGGTTCGGATCTTAGATCTACTCCTAAACCGGGTAAATATTATATTTGTAACAACACATCATGTAATATGTAAAATAGTATGTGGACCGAAATATAGTATATTTTTCTGTGTAATATTGCATTAGACTTGTAGCGAAAATTTGCTTTGTTTCAGATTTGCAATTAGACGTGTTATCTTCAGCTTTACCATCTGCAATGGCACCATCGTCTGGATTATCTTATCAAGCTGAACCAGCTGAAAATCCACCTACAACTGCTCCACCATTATCATTACCGCTGAATATGAATGAACTGTTTCAGAGATTAGTAGAGACTGGTATTGTATCGAATCTTTCCGAACAAAAGAAACAAGAAGAGGAAGAAAAGAAGGAACCAGAAATTATTCCGGTTTCATTTGATAAACCAGAAACACTTAAAGTGTAAGTATAATTTTAATAAAACACTATTTTAAATTAATTATTGTATTTTGCATTAATTTTGAATTGGAAATATTCCTTATTTTAGTAAGCAAACGGCTATTGCGGCAGCATTGTACAGTGGCATGCAGTGTAGTTCTTGTGGTGCCAGATTTGCACCAGAATTAGCAACTCGGTATAGTCATCATTTAGATTGGCACTTTAGGCAAAACAGACGAGAAAGAGATTCTGCAAGGAAGGCTCATTCACGACCTTGGTATTATGATGTTAGTGATTGGATACAGTTTGAAGAAATTGAAGATTTAGAAGATAGAGGTAAACATTTTTTATTTTTATTATTTATAATCTATTTTGTAATGGGAGACCTAATATCTTATTTACATTGTTTAGTACAAAGTTGGTTTGAAACGGAAAAACAGACGGCTGATACGGAAGGTATCACGGCCGAGGATTCTCCTCAAGAAGCCTCACAGCCTAGTGTTCCCACTGGAACTGATGAGGATTCTAGATGCCAAGTATGCCATGATGCATTTGAACAATTTTATAATGAAGAAAAGGAAGAGTGGCATCTAAGACCAGCAATTAACTTTGAAGGAAAGAATTATCACCCATTGTGTCTTGATGATTACAAGGTTGGTTTTATCTTATATCTTCCTATATTTTCTGTTAACATTTTATCATATTTCCGATCAGTCAATCGGAATATAATATCGATATAAATATATTAATGAATTCTTCATTTGTTGCATTCTTGCAAAAAATAGGAAAAGAGTCTCGTGGTATGTGCTTCTTTATAATCCATATTTTCATATTGCACTTGCAGAAAGTTTCCGCACTTATAGATATAGTGGAAGTAATTAGGCAATGAAAGATGTAATGTACACTCTGCAATATATATTTTATTTTATTTAACTTTTTAATTTTATAGATTCCTTTTATAGAAATGTATATAACATATAATTTCTTTTTGTCATGAATTGATTTTTAACATTTTGTGCATAAATAAGAATGAAAGTCATGATTACATTTATTATTTAGTAAGATTCAAATTTGATTGAATACATACATCATCTTATGACATAAATAATTTGGATGATTAATTTAAAGTAATTTCTAATTCACATATATATGTTAGGAAGTAAGGTAATAAGAAATGTTCATTTACATAAAATTTTGTTGCACGTTTATAGTTCTTACCATTGTATATTTGTATCATTATATATTTTATTGTATTGTATATATTGTATAATTTATTAATATATTGCTTTCTTTACGCCATTAGAGAGCTTTGGAAAAATCTGCGCTTGAAGAAACAATAGAGGAAATGGAGGATGAAAAAAAGGAGAGCTCAGATGAAACATTCGCTGAAGAAAATAAGACTGATGAATTAAGTATGGAAGCATTAAAAGCTGAATTTGAAACAGTACAACCGTCGGATGAAATAATAGAAGATAAGGTACCGGAAGACTCTACTGAAATGGAGACTAATGAGGAGGAAACTATAATTGAAGATAATGCAGATATTGAACAAAACGAAAAAATGGAAGAACAAGAATTAGAATGTAGTAATAAGGAGGATGTTGATATGGAAAGTATAGAAAAAGAAGATTCAGTCGAAACAGAAATACCAGAAACAGAAAATGTGGATAAATCCTTTGAAAATATTAAAATTAAAGAAGAACCAATTGACGAACCTGAGGAACAATTAGAAGTGGAACATTTCGATTTTACTAACATAGAAATTAAAGAAGAACCTATTGAGCAGGAACCAGGTACGTATTGTATGCTATATACTGGGTGGTTGGTAACTGGTGGTACAAGCGGAAAGGGGGTGATTCTACGCGAAAAAAGAAGTCGAAAATATAGAATAAAAATTTTTCATTTGAGGTTTTGTTTTCGAGAAAATCGACTTTGAATCTTCGCTCTTGCGCGTGCGGTACGTATAACGGATCTCACTGTAGGACGTTGTCTCAATGGAAAAATTAAAAAAAAAAAAATTAAAAAAAATTTTTATTCTATATTTTCGACTTCTTTGCGTAGAATCACTCCCTTTCCGCTTGTACCACTAGTTACCAACCACCCTGTATATATACTTTGATACAATAAATTTTTTAAAAATTTGTGGGATAATTTTACATATAGATCCTGAAGAAAGTATAATAACTGAACCTGCAACGGTTGATACAACATACGCAGCTGTGAAGAGTTCTATAGACGGGAATGTAGAATTGGATTCTACGCCTGCGGCGATGCCAGCGGCTCCATCTCGAATTAAAATCAATATTACAAAACCATTGTGTATCAATAAAGAGCCAGAAGATTCAAAGGAAAAAGAAAAACCTATAATTGAGACACCTACTGAAGAAATAATAGAACCTTTGGTGCCTGCTTCTATCAAACCTACTTTGCAAGGTAGAAAACTTTCAAATTTACCTCCTGTGGAAAGAGGGCAAGAGTTATCAGGACTCTGCTCAATTATGTAAATAGTAGATGTAATGTATTTGAAATATGTATGTATGAGAGTGTGAGAATGAATTCATGTTTAGCACTACTTAAAATTAAGTATTGTTGCATTGTATATCATATTTGTGCAGCTTGTACGACGTGATGTGGTGTGATTACAGAATTTTTTGCTTTCTTTTTTATTGTATTATTCATTTTTCTGTATTTTACTTTTCTATTTTTTGCATTTCACATGCACAATTTTTATCTGAACATTTCTTTGAACTGCTAATGTAGTAAAAGGAATTAATCACATCTATTTTCAAATATCACGTCGTATAAGCTAAAAGTACGTGTTATAATGTGTGATTGTATAAGTGTATGCGTGTATTTAGTTTTTAAATTTTAATTAAGGTGAAAAGAGAACAAAAACTGTACATATTTAATGTAATCGAAACAGTCTAACTAGAAGCGAGATATGATATAGTAGCATTCCCAATAATATCGAGTGCAATCGTGTTTCGTGACAGAGAAGTGTCAGGAATGTAATACTGATATGCACAAGACTAACTGAGAATTTCATACCGTTTGTACTTTGTAAAAACATTTGAATGGTATTCGATATATTGTTTTCTAGAAGCATCATCCCCAATTTGATTTTACAAAGCACGAAAACGAGGTCCCGTAGAAATGATGGAAGATTACCCAATTTAGTTAGGTGTACAAATTGTGTGATATAAAATTGTTGATTATAATGTACATAATACCAACATAAAATTAATCCCGACGATATTGGGTAAAGAAGAACAGTTACTACTAGAGAAGAATTATTTTGTTGTATAAAAAAAAAATCTTGTTAATCATTCGGGGTCTGACGTCCTTTGGTTGCTTATTTATGATCCTACTAAATTTACCTCTCTAAAATATCCCTTATGATAATCGCTATTGCTGAAGAACTTTAGAAATTTAAATTTTTAACTATAAAAATATTTGAAGAAATAAACAAGTATTAATAAAAAGTTACTCTTTAGTTGAGATCTGTTTCGGTATTCAATAAATCTTATTTTTAGAAAAAAAAAACTGATTTGATGTTACTGTTTTCTCCTTATACTTAATCTAATAATTTTGTAATATTTGACGTTGAGAGCATAATAAAAAACTAATAAATTTCTAAAATAGTTTTCTACACTGATTATTCCATATAAATGTTTGTTTACGTTTTCCCTAAAAGAAAATTTATTTTTAAATACTTTAATTGCATACAATAATTATATGTATATTTATATATTTTGTTATGGGATAACCATGTAGACAATAGGTCTTGAGATTTCTATTTATAAGCTACAATTATGGGGCCACCTTGGGAAAGGGATTGTATCCTTAATATTTGGTATATTAAAAATAAATTGTAAAAATCTTTCAAACCCCATTCCAAAACCCCCAGTTGGAACATTACCATATTTTCGAAGTTCTAAGTACCAAGAAAGATTAGACATTAAGGGTAACTTTAACTTTAACTTTTCATAATCATCTTCACGTATACTGCCTCCTACTAACTCCCCTACAGTAGGTACTAAAAGATCTATTGCATCAACCTTAAAAAAAAGGATCATATATACCTTTACAATGACTATTATTTGAAAAGATATTTATCAAATTCAAAATTTATTAAATTCACTATACTCACCTTTGAAGAATTATCTTTACATTCTTTCACATAAAAAGGTTTCATTTCTTTTGGCCAATTTGTAATAAATATGGGAATATTATCGTTATGTTTCACTAGAAACAATTCATGCTCTTTAGATAGGTTTGCTCCGTATTTAATAGGAATCTCTAAGCAACTTGTATTATTTTGTAAAATATTAATTGCTTCATCATACGTTATACATGCAAATTTTTTATCCAACCACTGTACCTCACAACCACCTATTGCATGTATATCTGAAGCACATTTTACAAGTATATCTTTAACCACATATTTTATTAATGATTCAACTTCAATCATTATATTATCAATACTATTAATAAATGCTAATTCAGTTTCTAACATATAAAATTCAGCTAAATGTAATCTTGCTTTACAATTTTCAGCTCTGAATACTGGTCCAAAGGTATACACTTTTGTAAATGTTCTAAAATGTTTTATGCATACTTTAGGTATATAATTTTTCTTTGCTTAAATATTATTCATAAAATCCTATAATCTATTCACCTGGCAGCAGCTTCTAAATGTAATTGTCCTGATACTGTTAAAAAAGATTTAGTATTAAAAAAGGATTCTTCTTCCTCTATACCTTCCCTTTTCATTGATTTTAATAGATCTTTACAATCTGGCTTAACTAAAAATAATTTACCAGCTCCTTCACAGTCATTTGAAGTTAAAATTGGTGTATGTATATGAATATAACCTTTACTCCTCAAATAATTTTCAATAGTTGCAGATGTCATATCACGTATCCTTAATAAAGATGAAAATGTTCTAATTCTTGGTCTTAAATGAAGAAACTGTCTAACATAATCCATATGATACAGTTTTCTTGGAGCAAAAGGATATCCATCCATAACATCACACATACCAATTACAACGATATTATCTGTATGTAGTTCAACTTTACCATTTGGATTTAAGGCTAATTTTCCTTCTGCCTTAATACTACTTCCAAAGCTTAATTTGTCTGGTTTATTTGATTTTGATACAACAAGTTGGAACATATTAGGAGTTGATCCATCCATAATATCAATAAAAATACTATTTTTCATCTTTCTCAGTGCATAAACCCAACCCTATTTTTAATAAATTGTTTCAAAGGTTAATATCACAAATAACAAGAGATATTAATAATCAACACTATATAAAAAAATATTTATAATATTCAATACAAAGAAAGAACATGAATGAATCCGCAATTAAATATCAAAATATTAAAAAACTATAAGATACAGCTAACCTGTACTTTTACATGTTTTCCAACAATAGTTTCAGAATTATCATTACATATTTGCAACATACTGTGGACATGACATCTTTGGACTTTAAGAATAGCAAATAAATTCCTGTTAAACTTAAGAAGTGACATCTTTCTTTTGTTTTTGCGAAATTTGTGCAATTAATGATAACAAAATCACAAAGTTATTACCACAAACAAGGTATAAGATAGACCTAACATACAATATAAATTTGTGTTCCGCGATCCGGGGACTACGTAGCCCAGGTTACCATTTTCATGTCAGATACGACATTATCGGTTCAGAATAAAATATGAGATCATCGTTATTGATATGGTAGGAATGATAATTAAATCTAGTGGCAGTTAATTATTTTCGATATAATTAGTAATCAGAATTGATATACGTATTGATTAATTGTAACAACAGAAACTCTCAGATTCTGAAATACCGACCTAAAAAAAATCAGAGTGTTTCTTACGCCCTCTGCGATTTGTTACAGCGAAGGTAGAAATTAGATATATTGAACTCAATCATCGGAAGCGATAAAGATAATACATTATAGCAGAATCGTATGCACCGTATATATACCTATAGAAAGATCTATATTTGTTAAATTCTCGAAAGGAAGTCTGTTACTTCAACTTGGTCTAAGTCGATACGTTCTACTGTTGTTTTATAAAATATTCTTTAATCCTTTCTTAATTTTTAATTTTTTAATTAAATAGGAAAACTTAATATAATATTTGTATTTGAATATTTTGAAGAACTGATTTTCTAGAAATTTCAATTGAGAATACGTATTCTTATTATGTTCAATTTATCATTCCAAGATGAGCAAATAAGAGATGGGACATAGCCATTTTCAGCAGCTCCTTACACAAAATTGATCAAATGTTAATGATTTTTGCCGACGACATGAAAAATGATTTTTATATTGCACTACAATAAATTTTAGATGTTATAAATTAATAATTAAATTGTCAATAAGTGCAAGTTTATACTTTTTTTGTAGGCTTTTGCCTTTTTTTAATTATCACGATACAGGAGTTGAAGCAAAACTGAGCTCGTGTACTTCGCTTTTTTTTAATTTTTACCCTAGGAGTTTATCTAGGAATTTAGAGTTGTATCTATTAGTTCAGGGCCAATTTACCAGCATAACTCGTCTATGTTTTTACCTATTACAAGGTGATTTTTTCCTAACTTTCGAAAGGTGACAATTTTTATCGATGTTATGAAATGTGATGTTTCCTTTATAATAAAATAAAATTTAATAATTTTAAAATCTTTATTGTAAATTGACGCCATCAACGATTTATTATAATAATTATTTTTATAATTTTTATATTTCTTATCAAGTAAAATTAAATTTGCACTCCTATGGTACTATTTTATATTAAAGGCCAGTTGCTGATAAAAATAATTCTATTATAATAGCCAAACATAAAGTTGAACAAAATTTATATAATATTTCAATTTGTATTAATTACAGATATTTAGCAATTCTTTTACAAGAGTTTTAGTTTGATAGAAACACTCAGATTTTGTTTCAAGACCAGTATTTTAGAACGTGAGGCACGAAATCTCATATAATAGCGGGTCTATCCTGTATTTAGATAATGTTGTCATATGATTCCTGTATTTGGTCGATGCCATTATTACAGGCAAGGTACGGACATAGCCCAATGTTTCGTCTGCGTCCTTAGTCAATATCCCATATAATGTCATGTCTACTTCGTATATTGTATATATTTACAATTACGTAGTCATGATATGAAAAGAATTGACTACAAGACTGTTTGATTAATATTTTTCGAAAGTAAATCACAACGAATTATATTTTTAATGACTTATTTTACACATAGTTTTATAATCTATTTAAAAAGTTTCTCTTCTTCACAAATAAACATTTTCCCTGTAGTCAAAACATATGTATATGTATGATTATCATTAAACGTGTAAGTTAAATCTATTTACAATCTTAAAGTTCAAACAGCTTAATGTTCGTGAAATTTTATCCTAATATAGGACAGAACTAATCTTTCTTTCTTCTGTTTCTACTTCATTAATCAATAAAACCTAATTCAATGCGACGTTAGTAATTTATACAAGTATCTTACAACTTACAAAAATTAATGTTGAAAACATATAATATAAATATCATTATTATATTTGTCATTGCTTTTGCTTGTGTAACAGAGGATTCGCCGTTATCAGTATCCAGAGGGGGATGTTGGGACATCGATGCAAGTTGTACAGCTACGGAAAGAAATGATTTTTCACGTACGATATTTTATTATAGTATCTTCAATTATAATTATTCTAAATAACTAACATGAAATATAAAGTTACCTGGTGCGATTTTATCCTCTTGTATCGCGTTCGTTATGTAATTATCTTTGTCCACTGAAAAAAGAAATTATACAGATTAATGAAATCACGTAAATGAAATGAAATGATTTTTATGTCAAGAAAGAAATTATTTGTAGTACTTACGAGCACCTTCCGTTGCGAATCGTATTATTTCCGATGACTTACTCCAGCCATAACGATTTTTCGATAAAACAAGCGCCTCATAATGCGATGCTTCTTGCAATCCCGTCAATTTGAACGAGTATGTGTGTATGAAACTGTTTCCATCGTTGCCGCTGGGTATGTACAATTTACACCATTGACCAGGAACGCCGTTCTAAACATTGAAAAATTCACGACGGTACAAATAATACAATGATATGATAGAATACAAGCTGATAGATAAAATATACCTATATTAATTATAAATTAACCAGTATTGAAAGCATTGAATCTTACCACGTATTTACGAAATCTGAATTCGTACTGAACTATTGGACTGTAACTGTGAACCTCCCAGACGAAATTGTACGAGGTCTTAGAGAGGCTGTGCGAAGTCTTTTTAAAGACGGGCGGATTCGCGACACCCGATAATTCGACCGCTGCCTCGGTAATTCCCAAGGAATTAGAAGCTCTGCAGAGGTAGAAACCATAATCCGTCGTCCTAACGTTTCTTATCACTAAACTGTGATCACTGCCTGCGTTGTGCTTCACTATCCTCGATGAATATTTCACACTTCTATTGTTGAAATACCATTCCACCTGTAGATCGGATTTATAGATCCGATGACATAAAAAGAAAAAAAAATTATATCTTTTTGTTAAATCATCAATGTCATTAAACTTTTTCCATCGGTTCAAGTAGATTTATCGAGAGTATGATGATGTAACTGAGAAAATCGTTCGCCAGAATGCACCACGGCGATCTTTTCCGTTCGAGACAAGTGTGGACGAAATGCCGCGTCAGCAAAGAATTTAACCGTAGTAGCTATTTTTTTTTCTCTGCAAGAAGAAGTATCGCGAGTCACGTTTCCCGTCAATCGATTCGTCACGCGTTATTAACTTCAAGGGATAGGTTCAAAGAAATTGCTCTACAGCCAGAGTCAGTCGAAGGTTTATGTATTTGTCGTGCGAATTATATATTTCTAACCATTACTTCTCGCGCTAGATTTCTTTCTAAATATCGAGAAAAGACTCGTTAAGCGATGACATCGAGATGAAAGTTAAACGAAGAATACAGATTCTTTTTTCTTTATCGACAATGGCATCTAGTCAAAACAAATGCAAGCGCGGAACTGGGAAGTAATTAAACGTCCGATAACGAAGATATTCCCAGCCAAGGTGAAAACGGGCTTGACTCCGAGCTACACCCATTGTTGCACGGGCTGTTAATTACTAGCGTTGTAATTATATCGTTTGCAGTCTCGCAAAACTGCTCACCGTTGCCTCCGGCCAGGCAGTCACCCCGCAATGTAGCTGCACTCTTATCCCAGCGGGTGCGTGCATCCATGTTTTCGTCATCTCGATCCTGGGTTTGTCTGCGTTGTTTTCGATCGCAACATCAGATGCATTGAAACAGATAAAAAAATTTTGTTATACTTTCTAATCAACGAACGCCACAGATGGAAAATATAAGTCACATTTCCTCCCTTTTAGTCAATTAAAATTAAATAAACTTATTCGATACATGCTCAACCAATTCTATATTAAAACCGTCTTTATATTTGGTTTTAGTATTAAATATGTGTTTTCGTTGCTCTTTTGAAAACATTCGAAGCATGCGAATATCATTAGTTATGCAGACTAATATTAATTAAGTTAATCTAACATAACGATCGATCTAATACAATTCGTTCCTTATAAAACATTTCTTTTCAAAAGACACATATCTCCCAATTTATCGGGTTATGCTCTTTTCAATTATCTCAATTATTTTGGAATAGTTCTTTCCAGCTCAGCTTTAATCTTTTCATTCAGCGACATAAAAGTCGCAAAATCAACAAAAACGGGCGTATTGTATTTTCTCTGATATTCGGACGATATCGAACATTGTACGAAAGAGACATAGTTTGAAGAATTAAATATTTCGTAAGAAGTTCATTGAACATCTCTATCTAATAATAATTCTTGCCAGCAAATTCTCGGAATAGGAAATGTACGTATACAAAACACTAGCTTTTCTGAAACAGTTCACTGACATCGGTGCTTACATCAGCGGCCCTTTTAGTTATCGTCGCTTCTAGTTATCAAATCATTTAACCCGATGAATCATTTAATTATAGGTTGAACGTTTATCAAAGTAACCTGTACGTTTTATTGGAAGCAAAATATGCACGAAACGACGCACTATGATTTTCGATTACAATTATGATTGTCACGTAGGACGATTACTGCGCATAAACGATTTAACGCATACATGCATCGCGGGATTACAATTAGATCGTGCCGGCGTTTGATTGGAATACTAAAGAGAGGAATGCAATTTCCTAATATAATTACGGCCGTTTAACAACGTATGCAGAATGGTGTACGCCGTTACTTCTGTGCATATAGGCGTACATAAAGTCAATTAACTCGAACGTAGGCGGGCCACGAATTTGAGTTACATCCGCGCAATCATAATCGAATGCTATTTATAAACTGTTGTGACGTGGTCGAAGAAAATTACTCGAATTTGATAAAGCGGTACCTACATCTAATGTATAGATCTATAGTGGCCATGGCAGGTTCACCAACGTCGTTATTTGCCACGCAAGTGTACCGTCCAGCGTCGCTGGGGCTTTCAGCGTGGAATCGCAGACGTGATCTATCATATAAAAATGGTATTTCCCCGTCCTGTCAATAGATAAATATTTTCATTATTTTTTATGCTTAATATTCGTGGCAATTGTGTCTATCGGAAGATATCTCGTTTTTTATTTTTGTGATTCGAAAAGATATTGTTTACCTTGTTCCTCCAAGATATGATTGGAACTGGAACACCCTTTGCCACACAGGCCATGTCCACTTCCTCTCCTAAATTCACTTCCAGCTTGCCAGATTCTGGTATCGGATGGACGCTGGGTGGATCTGCAAGTAACGATATAGTCCGATCAACGTTCAAAGACGCACATCATTCTCTGTATTTTATATTCTAGACTCGAGCATTGTTCTCTATGCTTTCGTGTTTTCACATTTACTCTCACTCCTTGTTTTATAATTTCATTCATAACTACGTATGTATTTAAATGAGCGTTAGTTATTCGCTATAATATATGTATATATGTAATATATAACTTATGCAGTATTTTAGATATACCTTAGATAACTTATATATATATATATGTCGGGTTTACATTAGAATTAGGGTTAGGGGCGTGAAACGAATCTTCGTTTGGGTTACACGTTGTCGTTATGCAATAGAGAAGACATTGACTAGTGCAAATACGATTATTATAGAGCCGGACAAGTAACCGTGGTAGTTAGGTACTCGAGAAACTAATGACAATGATCCTAGGTTCAATAACGAATCCGCGGTCGACGGGATGATAGATGAACGTACTCACAAAATCTAAGTCGGATGCGTAATGTTCACTGGTCGTAAAGAGTTACTCCTTTCATCAGTGAGATCACGAACGAGAATGCCTTTCCCGTCCCAATGATGCCACAGAGGAAAACTATAATGGGGTGTGTCTAAGGACACGAGATCATCGGATTCGTCGAGAAAAGCCTTCGTTCAGAAAGTAAGGGAAATTGGCGTTG